ATCAATCTCAGTGTCATACATTCTAGATCCAGCCTCCTCTGAAAAAGCCACATTTAAGAATGCATGAAGCTTTGGGGGAATATTTAGACACATGCAATGCCTACAATATTCTCAGTTTTCTGCCATACCTAATTTCAAACAAAGCACACTTTGAAGGGCAGCCTAGAATGGTCTAGGCTGCCTGCTTTTTTACGTATATACATTAGATTGTACATGAGATTTTAATTGGGAACAGAAGCCCAATAGAAGAGGGGTTTCTATTCCTGGTCTGTCACACCAATGCAAGATAGTAGAAGATATACCACAATAATTGGCAAGCAGAAGTTAGAGATACCAAGGTTTCTTTAATATCAATTTTACAATCATACACTGGACTTTTGGTAAATGATTCAGCACATGTCTTACCTACCACAAAATATACATCTGCCACATCCTCCATAGATGTGGTAAGAATGTTCACAGCATGAGACCCTGAGAAAAATGAGAAGAGAAAGAACCCATCGCTCTAGAAAGACAAAGTATAACCTTTGGGCCCTGTGTAAATAAAATGCTATGGTAAGGAAAGTAAACTTTACAATGTGAGGAAACTTTCACATTTACAATATACCCAATGACTAGTTTTGAGCAAATAATTACAGAGAATAAAAAGGAATAATAAAGTACCACTCACTCACAAAAAAATGAAATTTATGTAAAACATTTTTGAACATCTTAGGCATTGGATAGACTAACCAAAGTTTTAAATCCGCCTACTTTAAAATGCTCAAAACACTGAAGTGAACTCACAAATAACTAAATGAAACCAGACACGATGTACAAAAAGGTAAAGAATACTCATAAAAAATGTTTATTTCTGGAGCTTAAAAGCATGATAGTTGAAATGAAAAGTTCACTAACAAAGTCCAACTACAGATCTGTACAAAGAGAAGAAAAGAACTAGTGAAATTTTCATAAAAATGAAATAACTCAGTCTGAGAAAACAAAGAAATAAAGAAATATGAACAAAGCCTAAGGGTCCTATAGGACACAGTCAATATCATATATATCACATATATATATATATATATATATATATATATATATATATATATATATAAAGAGTGAGAGAGAGATAATGGAATTTCAAGATACTTAAGAAAGAAAGATAATTTCAAAATCAAAAACATTTCCAATAAACGATGGCCCCGAACTTCCCAAATATGATGAAGTATAAGAATACACAAACCCAATAAGCTCAAAATTTCGTAGCAGGTTAAACTCAAAACTCAAAAGGGCACTTACTACAAGGAAACTGTTACAACACAAAGAGAAAACCTCCCAAACAGCAAAACAGAAGTGACTCATCCCAGAAAATGGTTCTCAATGAGATTAACAGTTCATCTCACATCAGAAACCTTAAGGGCCGAAGGCACTGGGACCATCTCCTTACAGTGCAGAAAGAAAGTCCTGTTGGGCAGGATATATAGCTTAGTGACACAGTGCCTGCCTCGCAAGTGCAGGGTGTAAATTCTACCCTTGGTACCAAGACAAAAGAAAAAGAAATCCATCAACCAAAGATTCTACATGTAGAAAATCTGTCCTTCATCACTCAGCAATAAGTGAGGGGTGGTGGTAGATACCTGCAGTCCCAAAACTCTGGAAGGCTGCTGCAGGAGAAACCTAAGATTTAGCCAAAGCAATTTAATGAATTCTTATCTAAAAGTAAAAAGTAAAGAGAAAGGTAGGATGTAGCTAGTCCAAAGACCCTGAGTTCAACCTCTATACCACCAGAAACAAACAAACAAAAAAAGGAATATATCCTGATTTTTTAAATGTGCCAGCCTATAAGAAATGCCAAGACAGTATGGAGAGAACTAATTAGTGAAAAACACATGACATAAAAAAACAAGTAGCACAATGCCAGAAATAAGCCCTTCATTAAAAGTAATCCATTTAAATATAAATAGTTTAAACTTGCCAAAGATTTAAAGAATGATTTCAGAAACATGATCCAACCATGCAATATTCAAAATAGACAAATGCATAGATAAAAAAGATTAGCAGGGCAGTGAGCAGGATGATGAGGAAAAGCTAAATGGGGAGCAATCATTTAGTATTTATACAACGTTCTGAGGTGCTAGAAATATTTTGAAATTCCAAATGCACATTTTGAAGGCCATAAATTCTACTGAATTGTATGCTTGAAAATAGTTACACATGTAACATGTTAAATTCCCCTCAGTTTTAAAAATGAGTCATAGCAATAATGATGTCCATTCAGGTTGATTGTTATCTTCTTTTAAAGTCCTGTAATGTCTCCAATGTTTTGGTTTTATTCTTTACTGTTCTGTTCAATTTTATTATAACTGATGATACAGGCAATTCTTTTTAAGATAGCAAGAGGCAGTATGGTAACCATTGTTGATCACTTTATATTGTGTTTTTACATTGTCTATTATGTCCATCCTTTTTATTTGACTGACTCTGTTCTGTTATGTCACATTTGGTTTTACTCTCTTCAAAAAAAAGTAATAAGGACTGTGGGAGTAATAAAATCCAAAGTGTGTAATTGTCATTGTACAGAAGAAAGGAAAAGAAAGTGCTCTAAACAATATAAATGCATATATATTTAACAGCATAAGATAGATAACCATATTACTGAGTTTTGTTGGATCATTGAACAAAACTTTTTCCAGTCTCACTGTTTGAAATTCCACTTTATATGCTTTAATTTTGTAACTTGAACAACTATTTCTAAGATAACAATATGTAATCTATTAACTAGTGATTTCCTATTATTTATTTTTTTCTGAAATTCTGTATAACTTTTACCCTTTTTCTGTTTTTTTCTCCTTAAATAAAAAAATGAGTCATAAATGTCTTTAGCATCCTCCTTTCTTAAATTTAGCAATGCAAATATTACATGAAAAATATATTAGATCATACTTCAAAACATTAAAGCTAAGTATGAATGAGTGAAAAAATCAGGTAATTTTAATTGTTTATGCCACTGAGCAAAAGATCTGGCAGAGTTTAATTATTTACACTTTGTTTATGTTGCTTTCTTAAATTTACAACTTTAGAAATTTATTGCATATTAAATTTTTAAATAAAAATATGAAACAATTATTAAGGTAATACTGACTAATTGGATATTGTAAATGTGGTTAAAATGTTTAAATTGTAAGATTAATTAAGAATGAGTACAATAGGAAGCAAATTGCATTGTATATAAAGCATTGCCCTGAGTTAATATGCTCACCGCGTAAGTTTAAAGGGCTGTATATGAAACTATGGAAATCAGTACAGTGATTCCTCAGAAAACTAAAAGCAAACTTCTATTCATCCCAGTCGTCTCCCTTCTAAAGATAGCAGTTTCCCTATCTTCCTAAAAGAATGAGAACGTTATTACAGTGATATACTCATATCCATGTTCATAGTAGCACAATTCACAACAGCTATAACTTAGAAGCACACTGTTTGTCTGTCCAGCAATAGATGCATTTTTAAAAATGAAGCTTTGTACACAATGGAGTACTACTCTTCTATAAGAAGGACAAACATGAGTCATTTGTAGAAAATGGTTTTACTTTGGACCACAATGTTAAGTGAAATAAAATATCAACACAACATTAAATATCACATAGTTTCTCTTTTATAAGAAACCTAAAGTATAAATAAATTAAAGAGCCAAATAAAAGATACATAACAAGAAACAGTGATAGATTTTTCTTCAGATAAGAAGAGGACTAAGAGTTGTAAGTAGGGGAAAGAGGAGAGACAAGAAGAGGACAAGAAAGAATAGGATGCCTTACATAAAAATTCCCACAATAAATATAATCATTATGTGACACAAATATATATAATAAAATTTTCAATTGTCTGGGAGATATAGAAATGGATGATATTTTTCCTTCCTGTTCTCTGAATTTTCTTAATGAATATGTTTTATAATTACAGTCAGAAAGAAAATGTTGCCTTCTAATTATTTACTACTGGGAAAGTTAAAAAGAAGCTCAGCTTTGATAAATGTTGATAGTCCTATCTTGAAAAGGAAGATACACTGGAATTCTTTCTTCTCAAGTGTAATACTCCTCATAGAAAAACATGTAAAACATGAACAGGAAGCTTAAATCACCAGATCTAATTGTTCAGAACTACAGTCGGCCCTTGAGCAACACCGTTGCAGTGGATTCAGGCAGACAGGTTTCAAAACAGGAAAACTATGGCAGAAGGATTTCATGGAGCAAGGCAACTCTCAATTCCTATAGAATGGGAAGAAGAGAAAAGAATAAGAGCCCTAAAAACAAGGGATCTCTATCCTGATATACACCCCAAACACCTCCATATTTAGTTCAGGTGGTTCGACTGGGATCCACAAGCACAACCAAAGCAAAGGGAATAACCTGTGTCAAGACATAGATTGAATTGCAAGGACCCACAGCAATTTGCTAATTTAGACCAAAAATGCGAAGTGCAGACATTTTGTTAAAAATATTGAGAAGAAAGGCCTACTCCATCACACTCAATGTTTATAATTGAATAAGAGATGTTTAGGATTCCCTTAGAAGGAGGCTATGATGATGTCAGAGTCACCAGATAGATTGATTGGATGCTGGCCAAGCTTTGTTATTCATAAGTACATTGCTCCACTGTTGCCTTCCTGAAGTTTGGTTCCTGGGTGTCTGTCTCTTTCATTAGATGGTCAGCTCACTCTCCAGCATGCTTGCTCCTAGCACAAGAGAAGGTCCTAATACTCAAATGCTTCTAAAACTACCCTGATGAAACCTGGCATTGATAATTCTGTCACTGGGAACCCATGTTTATGAGAATGTCCTGGCGAATACCACATCCTACAGACCCACCTTGCACACCTGGGTTTCTGGTGAGGACAGGAACACATGATTTGATCTGACTCATCAGCTGTGGTCATTGTACGAGTCTCACACACTTAAAAGATATCATGATGAGAGGAGGCAGTGGCAATAGTATGTTGTTTTAGAAAGCCTCTTAGGGTAAAGCACCACAAAACTAGTGATAAGTATGAGGTCACTGAGCCAACTCCTCCCCTTTCGTCTGCTGGGACCTAAAAGGCAACATGGACAAATCTTCACAAGCTCTGACTTGGAGACCCTTCTTGCTTCTTGGGAAGATGCAGCTGCTCCTGCCCCTGTTGGCCTTCTTTCTGCTCCCCAGAGCAGAGGCAGGTGAGTAACCATCTCCACCCTCCAGAGGCCCAATCCTATTGTACGGAGCACATGATTCTCCTATCCCTATGCAACACCCCCAGAGCCTTCTGTCTGCAAGAATTGCTCTGAACCTGAACTCCAATTCCACCAGAAGACCTCAGGTAGGACACTGCATAAGCCACCAGAGTTCCTTCTCAAGAAGAACCCTTGGGTACTGTACCCTCAGTAAGCCTCAGCTTGCACATCTAGAAAGAATCTTTCTTCAAAGTTCATGCAGGTGAGAAGTAAAAAGGAGAAAATATAAAATACTCCTAAACAGGGCAGAATAGGTCTGTCATCCAGGTCAGTGGAGGGGAAAGGTTTTGCATTCAGCAACTGCCTAGAAGAGATGCCCAGAACTCAGTGACCCCAGAATGGATGGAATCTCTGTCCTTGGAACACTGTTTTTTCCTCTCCTCACTTCTACTAACTTTCTCCAGCTCTGCTTTCTTCCTCTGGACTTCAGTGGCTCCTCTGTTTTCCAGTAGGAACCACAGAGGCAGACTCACACTTCTCTGCTTTCCAGAATCCCATCTGCACTGCTCTACTAACCAGACACTAACTGCAGCTCTTTCTTCATGCTGCCAGCGAACAGATCTGAGACACCCTGTACATGTCAGGCCATAGAAAGAGGATAAGACCACATCTACAGTACACCTAGAGGGCTGCCAGGAGGAAACATCACCATCCTAGATATCACAGTACTCAGACGCGTTTTAGATACTCAAGGGAAGTAAAAAGTTAGAGGAATGATGGAAAGTCTCAGGGGTTTTATTTTCCCCTGATACATACAGTCATCTCCAGTCAAACAGAGCAAAAAGGATTTGTAGAACAAGATGCAATTTCCTGCACTTTGGAAAACAAGTTGAGGCATCTTCCTCTAGGTTCCTGTCCACTTCAGGGAACTGCAGGCTCCCAAATGCCCAACTGATCAGAGACTGTTCGTAGCTACTTGTTCAGGGACACAGTGGCTGCACTCAGTCTTCTTGTTTTCAGGAGAGATCATCGGGGGACATGAAGCCAAACCCCACTCCCGCCCCTACATGGCTTACCTTAAGATCAGGCTTGAGAAGTCTAAAAAGATTTGTGGTGGCTTCCTGATTCAAGAGGACTTTGTGCTAACAGCTGCTCACTGTTTAGGGAGGTGAGAAAAGAAAAACAGACCACAGTTTACAGGAAACACTTCTCAGAGCCCTTTTTCTGGGGAGCTAGCTGAGCTCATGGACATAAACATGAGGAGGATTGGTGAGGGTGGGAAAGGGTCATCATATCCCAAGGGGAGAGAAGCAGGGTGGCACCAAAGAATTCCTGATATAAGGAAAACCAGGGCAATCAAACCTGATTAAATGTAGACCCAGGACCATGCTTTGGCATAACCATGCAAAGTAAAGCAGTTTCATGTCCTTTCCTCCAGGCACTGACCACTGAGAACATCTGGTGCCCAAGGTGCCCTCCCTCAGTACTAAGAAGGAGGGACAGTCATTCAACCAGGCTGCCCTCTGTCATCTACAGCTGTACCCTGTATCAGCTGTGACCCACTTTTATAGATCTTGGGTTGTGTCTTTTGTAGCTCCACATCCACAAATCCACTTGCCTCTGTGTACCGCCAAATAGAGGTCACCTTGGGGGCCCACAACATCAAGGAACAAGAGGACACCCAGCAGGTCATCCGTGTACAAAAAGCGTTTCCCCACCCAGACTATAATCGGAAAAAACGCATCAATGACATCATGCTGCTGAAGGTAAGGCACATGTCCTTGTCGCTCTTGCTCTCCTCAAGAATGGTTGCCACTTCCACTGTCATCCTGCCCCTGCCCTCTTTGCCATCATTTCCATCACATGTGCATACCCAGGAGCATACACTGAACTGGACTTCCTTACTTATTTTCCACCAGCTGGAGAAAAAGGCCAAGTTGACTAAAGCTGTGCAGCTCCTCACCCTGCCCAAGCGCAGGACAGAGGTGAATCCAGGTACCCGGTGCCAGGTGGCTGGATGGGGACGATTGTCCCCAAGGGGAAGACCTGCAAGAACACTGCAGGAAGTGGAGATGGTAGTGCAGATGGACAAGAAGTGTGAGGACCGCTTTAAAAATTATGATCGTGCTACTGAGATTTGTGTTGGAGACCCAAAGATTAAAAATGCTTCCTTTAAGGTAAGAAGAGGCATCTGTCACAATTGGCTTTGTGGGAAAGAGTGTTTGGGACAGATCTAGTACCAGGAGACCCAAGCATCATGGATTCCTGCACCTAGTAGGCTGTTATGTTTCTCCCAGAAAAGAGAAAAAGAGAGCTGCCTGAGCTGGGAGGTACTAAAGCTTCTACCACTTTAACAAGGGGCCTCTGGGGAAGGAAACCGCACTGCAAGCTTCAGTTTGCAACACATTGCCTGAGCTCATGGCACAGGAACCAGAAAACTGTTTCCTTGGTGTGCAGGAATTATATTCTCCTCTGAGACGGCAGCCCTCTTGGTCAATGAGCTCATCCTCTGTGCTCAGTGTGGGAACTGCTCATCAGTGTTCCTGGCCTGTAATCAATAGTCCTCACAACTCTACAGGGGTGAGGTCCAGACCTGGGGATGAACACAAAGGCTGCTACAGGAGTGAAAATCTCCATAGTCAGAGATCAGCAGCTAAGAACCTGTAGTTCCCTCTAATCTCTCACAAGCAAACCTTACAGTCAGTACTGCATGTGGGGGTTTGGGATAATGGAAGTGAGAAGTTAAGTGGCACAGTGGTTACCAGACTCATTCTCTATTTACAGGGTGACTCCGGTGGCCCCCTGGTGTGTAATAATGTGGCACAGGGCATTGTCTCTTATGGAGCCAAGAATGGAACACCACCAGGTGTCTTCACCAAAGTCTCATGGTTTCTACCCTGGATAAAGAAAACCATGAAACAGGGCTGACTGCACACAGCAAACTAAATCCTCTCTATGAGCAACCATCTTACCTGGAGCTGAGTCTAAAATCACTCTAGACCAGATGCCAGCAACTAAATAAATGTTTCATCTCAGTAAGAAGGTTTTTTTGTTCTTTGCTCAATTACTTTGGTTCGTAGGGACCAGCCCTATGCTAAGCAGGACAGTGACACAGTCTGATTTCTGCCTCCTCCACTGCTTCTCCAATCAATACCTTTCAATATCCCCTCTCAAAACTGTTACCCAGCTCCTCCTTATACACTTTAGTTTTTCCACAGCATCTCTTTTTGTAGGGGCTAAATTAAGCACCAACAGGAAAAAAAGTGGACATCTCTCTTCCTGGAGCTCAGAGCGAACATGTGACCTCTTTATGTGTCACATGCAGAGGGAAAGGAGATGATATCACAGTTGCTAGAGATCGGTCAGGCACCACTGAGGTCACCACTGAGCCCCATCAGGCTAGGTAGGGGAAGGCTCTTGCTTCCTGAAGAGGACATGTCTCTCCCACAGCTTTAAGGATAAACAAAGAGTGCAGAGTAACCTGAATGACACTTCACCCTCATCTTAAATTTGTTTCCTTCTCCATTCTCCTCTAAGACCAAGGCTTACCTTGGCTTACAGCCACCTGACTGCCCATTCTTATCCCTCCTAGAACTCTCACAGTCTACCAAGTCCTGTCCTAACCAGGCCCCACTGATTTGATAATGTAACCTCCTGAAATCCCCCCACCCAGGACATCAAAGCCAGTCCTGTCTTCACAAGTTAATGACACCCACTTCAACCCTTTAATCCTACTGGACTTAGGACCCCCTTGTTTCCCCACAACTACAGATACTCCTTTAACTCCTTGTTCACATCAGGATTTGCACTGGACTTGGTCGATTGACATTTATTTATTAGAATTCCAATAATTTTTCTGGGGATTACAACTATAAACTCATCCTGATGGTGACTAGACTGGAAAAGTTTATTTTAAAGGGTTTACAAAGGGTTAGGCCAGGGGCTGCAAATTATGCTCAGTGGCACAGGCACCCATCTAGCAAGCACAAGGTCCTGAATTCAATCACAGGTACCAATAAAGAAAAAAAGTGCTGGACCATAGGGTCTATGGTGTATATAATCACAGAGCCCTTTGCAACTGACAATGTCACAGACTTCCGATTTCACTTCCTCTCCAATCTCCATGTTGTCCCATGACACCTACATATTAAATATGTGAAATAAAATATATTATCTATATTTCTGCTTACAGTTTCTACCAATAGTATCACAAGATACTTCAAAACTGTCTGAGATTTAGAAATGACCTTAAGCATACACTTTTCAGATGTGAAGTTACTAAATGATTTAAAAGATGAGCTTTTCATATGGGGAGCCAGGAGGTGAGAAGATAATGAGGCAACTTTGTTTTCATTTGTTTGATCAGGAACAGATATAAATGTCATCATAGAAAATTAAATGATAGGAAACACACATATCCAGTCAGCCTGCTGTGAACCATCATCCCTGTCAATACTAAAGTGCTTGATTCTGCAGAATCAAATTTGAATTTGGGAGACTGCCACAGAAGAAAATGGGGAAATACCTGTCACATTTAGGTACTCATGGTTACTGCTACATGCATGATATCTAATATTACCCAGGCTCCTCCTTGTTGAGAAGTTCTTAGCTTAGAGAACATAAAGTGTGTGCCACTTTATTCAACAAATATCTCTGTGGGTGCTGGGTTTACTTTGCGGAATGCTCCTAGCACCTCTAGCTGTAGGGTCAGTTCACTAATACTCCACACTGTCTGTCAGAATTTGGCTTGAACTTAATGCCTCTATGTCACAAATACACAAAATACTACATCTTTTGTGACACAGAGTTAAATTTTACTCTGAGATCATGTAATTCTCAAAGACATGCCCTTTCCCATTTTGTTTACAAACCATGCCACATCACAGTCTCATAATTGTCTTGTGTAGCTTTACAAGGGAAAAGTAGCTTCCAACTTGGGGAAGAAAACCACAATACCTGCACCTAAAACTTACTGAAGACCTGATTCCTTCATCAGAAAAAAAAATTAAAATCCACAAAGCAAAAAAGAAAAAAATAATAGTTTAGAAATTTTCCCAGTCATATACATGAATACTCACATATTCTATTTACTTTGGGGAAATGGACTTGTAGTTTAATACTCCTTGGAAAAATCATTACTGTAGATTGGTCCTCATCCTCCTCTAAGAGAAGAGGATGAAATAGATTCCCAGGAAAAGACATGGATGACCAAATGTAATGCATAAGTTAAGAGAGAGCCTGGACTGAGCCAGATCCCTTAAACCCAAGGCTTGCTAGCAGCCTTGGTCTTCTAACTCTCAGTCCGTGGTGACCACCCTCAAAAGTTTTGTCTCCATCTCCACAGTACTGAACTTTGTTTGTCTATTGGTCTTACTTCCTGAATAACAAGTCAGCTGTCATTTGCTAAAGTGGGCGAGTACTATAGGTAGATGATTGATTCTGATTTTTAAGGGAAGATAAGACTCACTGATTTTTGACTTTTAGTGACAGTGAATGAAAGTCAATGTAATGCCATCACAGAGGTATCCTGACTGCACCAGGTTACTATGCTAGAACAACTGAGCTAAAATCTACCAATTTGTGGCTTCTATTATAGAAGGGACGATAGTGGAAGTTTACATTTTGACCTCGATATGAACTGTTACCTCCACTCTATTTAAGGTACTATGTAATGTTTCTCAGCTACTTTCTTATCTACACATGTAGTTAGTAACATGCATCTCCCTAACTGGAGTTCTATATGACATATCTACAGTAGCTGGTATGCTATCTGAAACAGAGTAAAAAACGAAGAAATATAAATTCTCGTTGCTTTCACCTAGAGCTATGTTTCCCATGCCAGGATTTATTTAATGGAATATTACATGTGGATTATTTCAAAAATTCTTTTTAAATGGCATTCTAAGAGATTTTATAGTATATATATACATATATATATATATATATATATATATATATATATATATACACACACACACACAATTTGGAATGATCAACTAAAGCTAATCGTCATAGCCAGTAGTTTAATTGTTATGATTTTTGAAATAAAAAAATCTGAAATTTGCTTTTAGCAATTCTGAAATATACACTACTAAGTATGGTCAGTGTGATGCACAATACATATCAAAAGTCTTATTTCTCTTATCTAGCTAAAACTTTGGACCCTTTGAACAAAGTCTCTAAATGCCCCTAAAATCTTTGCATCTGATAACTACTATTATACTCTATATCTACAATTACAATTGTTTTTAGTTCCTTTTTAAGTAACAGCTTATAGTTTTCTTTCTGGGCATGGATTATTTTATTTGATATAATGACCTCCTGGTACATCCATGCTCTTTCAAATGACAAGATCTCCTTTCTATTTGGTTTGGATTATATATATATATATATATATATATATATATATATATATGATATTTAAAAATACATTTCACATTTTATTTATCCATTCGTTGATAGATACAAGTTGACACTTGGCTATTATGAGTAATGCAGCAATAAACATGGAAATTTAGGTAACTCCTCAGCACCATGATCTGTAGACCGTTGGAGAAACACTCCAGCATAGGATTGCTGGACACAGTTTAAGTGCCAATGACAGCATGTTCTATTCAGGTCCAAAGCATGGAGCAGGCCTTCCTCTCATAGCAGCACATCCTCTTGCAGCCAGGCATCCTTGGCCTCCGGCAGAGGCATCAGTCTTGCTCTTGCCTGGGAAAGTGTTCTTCCACATTTCACTATCCACAATCTCAAGGGTTCCATGAAGATCCTAGTAGACTGCTTTCCATACGATTCTTCCCAGGTCACTTTTGGATACTGCCTCATTTTCTGCCCTATAGAAGACAAAGAAGGTGGAACATGTCCACAGAAAGCTAGGCCAGAGCTTTCCCCTAGGCAGGGCACTGTCAGTTCTCAGAAAGACAAGTTTTGTTCATAAGCTCAGAGCAAACTCTGAGAGGTCACTCAGCAGCCTGATTCCTTTCAGCCTGTGTTTTTGGTCACTGCCAGCAGCAGGATCTCAGAGTTGAAATTCCATGATTGTTTATCCAGCCAGTAATGTCAGCTTAAGTGAGAGCAGCCACAGGTACAATAGGACTAGAAAGCACCACTCTGTCGCCCACCAATACATGAATTCTTACCAGGCAAATACTGGTGTAAGTCAGTAGATACACAGAAAAGCAGCCTGTCATGGAATTTCTTTCATTATCATATCACTTAGCTTGTGTAAGCTTCTTGGTTTAGATCTGGATTAGAAAGACATGAGAACCAAAGAAGTCTTGCTCTGAGAAAAATATGTATTTGGTATATACATGCCACAGAAATGGCCATGTGCCACTGGTTTCAAGTGAATTATCAGAACAGACGTTGACAACAGCAGGTTAGGGATCTAAAATGAACAAGTCAGCAGAGGAAGGTGGAAGACGAGGAGGAGGACAGACAGCTTAATCAGGCAGGTCTCAAATTGACATATATGCCTTGGTGCACAAACTTGGATATGAAAAGGTGAAGGAACTCTTGGATCCATTTGGTGTCAAATTTAATTCACATTGCTAGTGAAGACTGGCCACATCCAATTGAGCAAAATTAGGGAAGTTTACACAGGACAAAAACATCCTCTAATCTCGAGGTACAGTGTTCAGCCTAATTATATCACAATGTGCTGCACTGGCCTCCTCTGGTAGTGCTAGAGTCACAGCTCCTCAGAGGTCTTAGCCAATCTGGACTTTGCGGTAGAAGAAGCATGGGTTTCAGTCATGAGTCAACATGTCTCTATTCCTGATCATCTCACTCTTTAAATCTGGGAAAATTATCTATCTCTGTAATCATGTTCCTCAAAAAATGTCCCTTCATACCTTGGCTCTGAAAGAGCTCTGTGGTGACTATATAAACAAGGAAGGCAAATCTTTGGTCAGCACACAGCTCTGCTTCTTGCACAGAAAACACACTGATAAGGCACAATCTAAGAAAAACTCTGTTCTTTGTATGGAACTTAAAGAACAGAATGACAAGAGAAAATATTATTCACTTCCAAAATATAT